TACTGATGTACACATTATCATTTAAACATCTTAACATTAGTAATCTATTTATTGTATATGGTGATTCATTATAATCTCAAAATGCTAACCATTCAATAAAACTAAAAATTTACTATATTTCTCATATGCTTAGAAATGCTTCAATAAGATTGCAAGTGCAAATAAACAAAATTATGAAGGTTTAATTTTTAAGATAAAAGACCAGGCCACTTTGACAAGTAAAACTAACATCAATTTACTGAATTGTTCTCCAAACTTTTTAAATGTCATTTATGGATTATTCTTACAAATGCCTCTTAATTTTCATTTATTCAAATGAAAACTGAAAGCCTGAAAGGAAGTCTATAGAGATTAAATGACGAAGTTCATAAAAGCTGCAAGATAAATTTAGTAATCACAATGAGCACGGACAAAGAGGCTGAATATATGGCTATAGAGACTATGGATACATAAAAATCACTCTATCTTATGGAAGAAGCTATCATTGTCCATAAATTTCTAGTTACATGCACACCCGGACCTAGAATCTAAAATTAACTACATAAAAGTAAGTTACACTTATTAAAAGTTACTTTCTTGGCAAATGCTTTAACACACAATCAAACATAAGTATAAAAGGAAAGCATCAGACATCAAAGATTACTTTTCCTTTCAGGAAAATTTTTTGAGATCACCTGGATCAAAAAGCTGAATTTGAAGAAAGCATATTATCACTTTGTTTGTAAATATACATAAAGTATGTTTTTTAGCTTTTCATTCTCAAAAAAATATCCCTGATAATGGATGTCACATAGCAAAACGTGTTACTTGAAAATATAACTTAAGAGTAAGCAAAGAAAAATTAAGCATTAATGAATTAAGAATCACATACCTCACCCTGCTTTTAAAAAAAATACGAAAATACGTATAAGAACTGAGAAACAAAAAACTCATACTACTATAGCATCCTGTCATTAGATTGACAAAATAAAAACCAATTCCAATTATAGAGCTCTAATTAATGAGCTAACAACAACCAAAAAAAAAACCAAGATTGCATGTACTAGATCAAAACAATTCTTTGTTAAAGAATGGAAGCAGGCTAGGCATGGTGGCTCACTCCTGTAATCCTAGCACTTTGGGAGGCTGAGGCAGGCGGATTGCTCGAGGTCAGGAGTTCGAAACCAGCCTGAGCAAGAGTGAGACCCCATCTCTACTATAAATAGAAAGAAATTACTTGGCCAACTACAAATATATAGAAAAAAATCAGCCGGTCATGGTGGCGCATGTCTGTAGTCCCAGCTACTCGGGAGGCTGAGGCAGGAGGACTGCTTGAGCCCAGGAGATTGAGGTTGCTGTGAGCTAGGCTGACGCCATGGCACTCACTCTAGCCTGGGCAACAAAGCGAGACTCTGTCTCAAAAAAAAAAAAAAAAAAAAGAACAGAGGCAGCTGTGAGACCCAGCTCACGTTCCCTGTGAGGACTTTCCCAGTGAGCCCTCCCATCTGTTCTCAAGGCTGCTCCCACCAGTGAACATCTCGTGATTCTAGGGGTGTCTCTGCTGTACCTCCATTGGAATCCCATGAGTCCAACTGTCTTTATCTCAGTCTTCTCAATTCCTTACACTGACCAATGTGCACTAGGTGATCAATAAATACCAGTGGAATCAATTCAATGACCAACAGGAAGAGAAGGATCGGAGGAGGCGGCAGGGAGAGAGGGAAGCAAAGCTGGGACACAGAATTTCACAGCTGTTAACGTCAGTTGAGGCCCCATCTTGCTTCTTGCAAATGAACCATGATGGGGTGTAGGCAAACTCTCAAAAAGACTGGTCCATGCTGCCATACACTGCAGGCTCCCAGATCCCTTCACCATCTCAAAGAAGAAACACGCACTCAGAGCACGTACTCTCCTTTCCACACAGTGGTGACAGGCAAACCTGCAGGAAAGTCACCAGAGCTCAGCACGCTATTTTCTCCCGGCCCTGAATAAGTGAACTAGATGGTGTGGGATGAGGTTAGGGAGGGCCTTGAACACTGAACTGAGGAATCTGGATGGTCGTTCTCAAGTATCTCTTTAAAGATTTGCAAGCAGAGAAATGAATTATAAAAGCAATACTTTAGCATATGAACTCAACTAAAGTATTTAAGAATGATTCTACCAGAGCTGGGAACAGTAATAATACAGCCTTAAAATGAAAAGTTGCAAGAGGAAATTCGATATTTGATTCTTTAGGAATTTTTTGAAAAGTTGGGTTAGTATTCCTCAGAAAGGAAGATCATCTGGTTAATAACATTTGAAAACAATTTTAAGCTGCAGAGGTGACTTTTTCTTGTGCAGCATAAATGTACTGCAGCACAAGAATCAAGACCACAACTGAAATGCAGACGTGTGTTTCCCCACAAAGGTTTAGGACCTTGTTCCTTAAGTAAATAAGCTAAAAATATCTTCACAATGTCACTTTTTTACTCTATAAAGAAGTTACATGTAAACTAGAAGAAGCCACAATACCAACACTTGACAAAGCAGAGAGGAACGACACAATCCAGAAGAATAAACTAGCTTCCCACAGTAACTCGAAGTTTATCACAGTGTGAAGTGGAGGCAGCTGGAGAAGACGTCTAGTTAACACTGGGTGGAATAAAACCGTGCAAATTAACTCATGCCTGTTCAAACTCCCAATCAACAGAAAGAAAAACGTAGGCAAGAGCGTTTCTTCTTCCTCCCTCTGTCCATTCCGCCCATCTTCCTTTCTTCCCTTTTCTTTCTTTCTAAATATTTCTAATGACAAGGTTCTGCAACTTAAAAGATCATCATTGAAACAGCATGGAGCCCCGTCTCTCTTCCACACTCAGAGTCAGTGACAAGGTGGAGAAGGAGCAAGAAGGCTCCGGGCACCTCCCGATGGATTTCTCAATCTGCCCACCCTCCCATCTTGACTATCTGCGGCACACGGGTGGCTGTCTTCTCTCCAGTCTATTCTGTATGTTAAATTTACAATGCTATTGTGAAAATAATTAATTTTGAACAGTACTACCCTACTTGAGTCTACAGTGAATCCTCACTTGCCTACAGTTCAAATTCCTCTGTCTGGTTCCAACACTCTCCACAATCTGGTCTCACATTTACGGCCTGGCTGAAGTTCCAATTCCACCAATTCCAACAGCTCACACTGACATCTCCATTCTGTGAACTCCTATTTCAATCAAGAATCCACACCACAAGGCTTAACATCTAATTGTTCTAGACTCTTTTTCCCCTGCAGGGCAGGAATAATACCATCAGTTTCTTTTTTATTTCCCTCAGTGCTCAGAGATCATAGTAAAATTTTAATACATTTAAAAAATGGATCAAAGAATCCTTTTGTAAGGGACTAATCATTCCAAAAGTCATCTGTTTCATAATATCCACATCCTATACTGTGTTTTCTTAAGCTCTGAATGGCATATTAAAAGAGAGAAGATTGCAATTCTTATACACTGCTGGTGAAAAAGTAAACTGGTACAACTTTGGAAAACAATTCAGCATTAATGTGCAGTGGCCCATAATTCCCATTCTTAAGCACAGAGAAATTCTTGCTTTTATGTACCAGGAAAGACACACAGAAAATATCATAGAAGTAGCAAACAACTGTAAACAACCTAAACAGCAAGCAACAAGAGTAACTGAATACTACCACACAGCAGCGGAAAGGATAAGTAAGCTACAGTCATACACACCAACATGGGTTAATTGCTCAAACATGATGCTGTGTGAAAAAAGAAAGTTGTGTGTGTATGTGTGTGTGTGTGTAATATTATATTAACACATACATAAAATCTGCTTCATCTCTACCAAGTTCAAAAACTGCAGGAGTAAATAAGCCATAAACTTTATTTTAGAAAGTCATACTGATACAAGAAAAACTATAAAGAAAAATGAAGAAATGATAGACATTAAATTCAGGATACAGTAAAAGGGAAGTCAGTGGCAGACACAGGTCAAAAATATTTTTAATGTTTATTTCTTCAACTGGGTTGTGGATAGGAAAGTAGCTCTATTATTGTTTATATCTAACACATATGCCATATAAAATCTTTCATAAATAGTTAATATTTCATTTTTTAAATGTAAATAAAAAATTGTTCATCTCTAGAAAGACTGTTGCAAGTATGCTGATCACTCATTAAAAAAAAAAGGAACTTAGGTGTCCCAGGTCTCCTTAGAGAAAAGATACCAGGATTGCAGAGCAAACTGCGAAGTCTGTGGCAGATGTGAACAGTAACTACCTTCATGGAGAAAGAGAAAGAAAATCACATGACGTCACACACACTATAAGGCAGAAACACAAGTATTTTCTAAGCCAAAGGAGTGCATTAGGGCAAGTGAAACTTTCAGGGCTCTGCCAAGTGAGCATTGCAGGGTAACTCAGCAGAGCCAGAACACCAGGGTTGGGGCAGGACTTGGAAGAGGAGCTGGAGCAAGATAAATGAATTTGCAAAAGACAGAAGAGAGAGCTAGGATAGGAGAGCAAAGCTGATTCTGAATGACACAAATACAACATGGAGATTTTAATTCAGATGTCAACCCTCCTATTTTATCTACCTCATTTTTTTATTTCCAAGTAAATAAAGTTCACTTCATCTTTCTTTTATTTATTGACAGTGAAGTTTGACTGCTATTTGCTAACTTCGTTTCCCAGCCTCACAGAACTTCCGCTGAGGATGCAGCATCTACTCAAACGTCCAGTTAGAAGCAATGGTGGTAACGCAAATCTGCCTCTTGAAACACAGCGTTGTAAAAGCTTTTCTAAGATCAATACCAGCTAAATTTTTAAAGCCTATCCCTGGAAGTAATGTTAAAATTAAAAGTTAATTTCCACTCCAGACTGCACTCAAGCTTTTAAAATTACAACGTTCATTCTTTTCCCACACTCTCAACTTAAGGATTTCATTCCCCAATCATCCTGGACATACTTTTCTCTATCAATATCATTCACAAAGCACATTTCACATTGGTTTATATAATTAAAATCATCTTACCTGCACTTTTTTTAAAGCTACTGGTACTCCATCCAAGAGACAGGCTGCTCTATAAACTTCACTAAATTGTCCACGACCAATTTTCTTTTCTATTCGAAAGTTGGCTAACGTGTTATAGCCCATGTCCGGTCGTAAGGCCTTCTGCAATTAAAAACGTCAGAAAAATTTTCAGTCACAATATACATACAATACACATGATCATCGATCATTTTCACATGAGCAGAGGACACCTATGGCAAGCTTTCCAATATCTGTTCATTTAACAAATATTTATGGAAACCTACTCACACCAGGCCCGTCCTACACACAGAACACAGTGGCAGACTACAGACAATGATCCCTATGCTTGAGAAACCTGCATTCTAATGAGGGGAAAATAACAAACAAGTAAACAGGAAATACACATGTGAGGCAGTAAAGGCTAAAAAGAAAATGTAAATCAAGGTAGAGGGACATAACATGGGAAAGAAAGGATTCTGAAATTTTAGATACGAACTCCCCATAACTTGTCTTTAGTGCACAGGATAGGAACTTGCCCCATCTAATCTAGTATTTCTCTGACATTTCTTTATTAACACATTTCTTTTCTTTTTTAAACACTCTTTGAGTTGAAATGGACTGTGTGTATGTGTGTGTATATATATGTATATAATATATATATTCGTTTAGCCCAACCTGTCAACTAATGCATGATACATTTCTTAACTTCCTAGCAGTTATTTAACTTCTGCAAAGAATTATTTGCAGTGCCAGGGAGTCTACCATCACATCATTACCATTTTAAGTGATTTTGTTGTTGTTGTTTTTGTTTGTGGAAAAAGTCATTTCTTTATTTACTGACATTTTTTGGTATTTACTATGTGCCAGAAGCTGTGCTAGCTGCTAGGGAAACAGAGACCAATCAGAAATATTAATATTTTCGGCTCTCAAATGGCTTACCCAAATACATGGGAGAGGCTCTTCACTGCTGTAAGGGAAACAATTATAGGGTATCAGCAGCAGGGGGCACAGTGGTCGTCCCTATTTTGAGACAAAACTCAACTCAAATTTTACCCACTGTCCTGGTTCTTTTGTTCACTTGTTCGTGGACATACTCATCCATTCACTCACAGCAGTGAACGTTAGCTGAGCGTCTACTATAGTCAGGCACTGTCTACTGCTAAGGTCATAGCACACACCCAAGGAACACCGCCTTGTACACCCCTCGTGGCACTAATTTTAGCATCACTACCTACATAAAATATGACAAAATAGTCTATTCTAGCTATCATACGCCCTTATATTTTCTCTTTTTTGCCTAAATGTGCCTGTGCCTTTTCCAGATTCTGGATCACTGATAAGTACACTCTCCTCACACCCTCTGTTCCCTCCCCACCCTCTGAGCCCTCTCTGAGTAAACACACCAGTGCACCCTCTAATGAGACTGAATTCTAAAGACTCATGAATGCACTCAAAGATGGCACTGGTTCATGCACACAGTATGTCTAACCTGGACTGTTAGGCCTCCAAATAACCTTTGCTGAGGCTGAAGATCCCATGTCCTGGACTCAAGCAGAAAGCTATTTTGATATATGGCTAGCACTTCACGCTAAACCCTGCACATTTTGTCTTTCACGCTAACAAAAAGTGTGTAATTTTGCTAAGGATTCACTGTAACTCAAACCCAATGTTTCTCAAAAAGAGAAAAAAAGGAGCAATAATTGGTTAATATACACTACTTTTCTTCTCCTGAAGGTCCAAAATATTGTCACGAAAAATATGATTCTTCCTTTAAAATATCCAAAATAAGCAGAATACAAGAATTTCACAAATCTACTTCATAAATATAGGGCCATAATTGCTATGATTAAAATAACGTTAGTAACAACAACCACTACAAAAATAATAGAAGAAGGTTCCATTTTGGTGCCCGCAACTTAACAGGCACTTTATATTAGGTCTTTATATGCCATCTCATTCAATTTTCACACCATCCCATAATGTAGATGTTACCAAACCAAACCTATGTCTAGCTGATCCCAAGTGTAGCCTATGACGTCAATAAGTAAAATCACCTACGATATTAACCCCACATCAGGGGACCCTACATGATGATCTACAGATATTTTCAATTTCAAGTCTTTTGACAAACAGACAAAACAAAAAGCCCTGGGGATAGAAACATGTCAAAAATGAAAATGAAAAAGTATATCCTAATAAGAAAAATAAAACCAAAATAAAATTCTCAAATAAAGGGAGGTCACTTTCCATGCTGTCCATTTTTAAGAGGCTTTTTCAGTCATTAAATTTATGATTGTGTCACTGTGACAAAAATGACATATATTTACCAAAAGAACTCACAAAGTACCACTTCTCAGATCTATTCATTAGATAAGCAATTTTTTAAAGTTTTTAACTTTAAATAAAGGTTTTGTTTAAAAAGGAGAGATTTTCTAAACTGTGTATCCTTTTCTAAGAAATCTCTTTCATACTGATACACTAGACGGTCTGCAACACGTAATAAGTACAATGCCTTCTTCTTCCACACGAACAGAGACCACGCTTTCTCTTGATGAGATCTGTCCATCTTGAGAGCAAGACACAGCTTCGTCCTCAGGAGCACTATCACACAATCCAGATACTTTAAATCTGACTGGGAACTCCATCTTCTGTCTGCACAGCGACTTGACAAACGTCAGCGTGAGCTGCTAAGGCGGAGTGACAGCCGCATGCTGAGAGCAGAGCCTCGCTAATGTGTTCTGGCATGCAGGTTTGTAATCGCACATTTACATATGCAATGACCTACATTTGCATGTCAGATCACACACCGTCTGGGTCTATTAAGACCGGGCACCTCCCTGCGCCTGGCCGCTGGAGTGGCGAGAGTGGGCCAGAGGGCGGTGTTTTTTGGCAGTTGAGGGATGAACTGCCACCGAGGATTAGGCTGATGTGGCCTGAGCATTAGACACTTCATTAGACGTAATCTGTTTAACAGTGGGCAGGGCATGTAAACTTCACAGCCCATTTGCGGCGCCCCCCCCCCATGGCCTTGCTTCAAAGGGCAGTGTGAGTGAGTGGCAGCTTGTCTCATCTGCTCCCGTGTCCTGTCACCCGGGGCAGACGTGGAGAGCTGACATGAGAAGGAGCATGGCTGCCCATCTCCGACCACCCTTGGGTCTCTCTACCACCCCGCAATTTGCACAAAAATAAGCTCGTGTGGGATGAGGTCTCCTTCAGGAGGCCGTCAGGCAGGTGACACACAGGCTTCAGCAACGACTGCACTGTACTGCGTTCAGCGCCACACTTCACTGCGATGAGTCACATCCCTCTGTAGGTGGCTTATCTTAGGTGCTTTAAATAAAAGATGAGACCATCAAATGAGTTCCTAACTCAAGCAAAAAAACTACTTTTAGTAAAAAGCCATATTCTCTTTTTTGAATGATTTCCCATTCTCCATGTGTTTTTACTTTAGCATCTTGAGTTATCCTGGGAATAAAATAACTCAGTAGAACAACGAAATTCAAAGCAATATAAAATATAAACCAAATAAAATCACTTAAACTGACTTTTTGCTGTTCTCAATGTAGAGTGTGAACTGAGTCTCAGTCTCTTGAAGTTCCTCAATGACCAGGGTTTTTTCCTAAGCTGCAAAATTGCTTTGGATTTGAGATGAGTGTCTTAGAAGACCTTCAACTTTTATGAGAATAAAAATATACTTTGTTTCTTCTGCTACGAATTGAGGATCATGATGCCTTACCTAGAACAGAAGGCTTTCAAAGTCCCTGTTATATACCTGGCTGCGTAGGGGCCTCTCCACCGGCCATCCCGTATGTTCCACACGTGCACTTGCACTTTGGCCTCACATCCACAGCATTGCACCTGCTGGTTCCCATGCCTTGTGAGTCACTTCTTTTTTCACACCTGGCAAACCACATCTCATCTCTGAGATTCAGTTTCAGTGTCAGCTTTTCTAAGGAACCGTCCTCAGCTCACTCAAGCAGCTCCCCTGGCTCCTGTCTCTGTGCTTCCAGAACGGTTGTCAGCGTCATCCAACTCTACAAAGAGCCGTGCAAACCCAGGCACTGTGCTTGGCTCTGGATCACCCTGGCTTTTAATTATTTGTTTATACAGTTGACCCTTGAGTGACACAGGTTTGAGCTGCACGAGTCCACTTTGTATGTGGCTTTTCTTCTGCCTCTGCCACCCCTGAGACAGCAAGACCAACACTTCTGTTCCTCCTCCTCAGTCTGCTCAACGTGAAGATGAAGATCTTCATAATGACCCGCTTCTACTTAATAAATAGAAAATACAGTTTCTGTATACAGTTTCCTTATGATTTTCTTGATAACATTTCCTTTTCTATAGCTTATTTTATCATGAGAATACTGTACATAGTACATATATCACAAAATGCTGTGTTAATTGACTGTTAATGTCATCAGTGAGGCTTCCAGTCACTGTTAGTGGTTAAGTTTTTGGAGAGTCAAAAGGTATACCTGGATTTTGAACTCCATGCACTAACCTCCTTGTTGTTCAAGGGTCAACTGTACATATATATTGCTTCTCCATACACTGAGTTTCTCAAAGGCAGAGACAAAATTTTGTGTTTTTTTTTTTTTGCTTTGTATCCAGATGCCTTTAAGTAAACAATAAATATTAACTAAGTGAATGTATTTGAAAGAACTTAATGAATGTAAAAGGTTTCTGATACATAGTGCATGACTCTAATTATCGACAAGCTCCAAGTAGAATCTAGCAGAGACCCAGCAGACTGTCGTGGAAAGAACACCAGAGCTACAAAGCAAGGCAATCGTCTCTGCCGCTAACAGCTTCCCAACAGGTCAATTCAGGGAATCACCTGTTATTAAAGGTGTCTTTAGTAATAAATCACTATCCCTGCTAGAGTGACAGGGGAAGCATTGGATACTGCTGCAAATCTATCTTGCTCCAAAGTCTGACCGAGGCACGGTATACAAAAGAATCCACTGCATTCTTGTAAAGCCCAGTGAAAGAGGCACAGTGCTGAAGTTAGTCAGCAAGACTTGGGCTCAAATCCTGCTTCTGGTCCCCAATATCTGAGCTGCGCAAGCTACTCAAACCTATTTCCTACTTCTTGTAAGACAGAGTAAGCCACATCGAAGAACTGTCTGCGAGACACTGAA